ATCAACATTCCTTGTCTACATAACTACTACGCGATATTATTTTAATTATTAGAACTCATTTAGCGAGACAATCATCGTTATATCCAATGGATCTTAAGTTTTGTTAAATGGCTTTGTCATGTAATAGTAAGCCTTTGTCTTGAGTGTTTCATATAATTCTTTATTTCTTTATTTAAAAAAAAAGGAAGCCATGCGCCTCGTATTTGTATTTAATTCTTGCTTATCGCCTATAATGTTCCAGTTACAGGTTTCTACTTGTTAAAATCGCGCCCAATATAATAGTCAATAATTAAGTAATTTAAACAGAGAATGTAATTTTTTTAAATTTTAATTCACGATAGCATGATCATGAATCACATCTTCACTATCGCTTACACGAACTGTGACGAAAATTATGTACTGTTATCTAAATACTTACACCGGCTACTGAAACTAACCCGATTGTTGAAGAGTTTCCATAGTAAATTTCATCTTCAAAAATTTCATGAATGAATGGCAGTCTATAAATTGTATTTGTCACAGAATTTTATAACAAACCAATTTAGTTACCGAGTTCTTAGGTTCTCGCTAAACTATTATAGTTTTTGGGTCTAAATCGCGTACATTTGTTTCTTAAAACAGATAAGGTTTTGGGTCCTTTACAGTCACCCGTGACCAAGGAGAGAGAAAAATTATGAACTGAAGCAAACAATGATTCGAAAGTCTTCTTCTGGAGTCTATGGAGAAATCTACTCACAATTCTCAACTACAAAACAACAGTTGTAAACAGAATGCTTACCATTAGAACAAGCAACACAATTTTCATCGCTTTGCGCAGACTGTCCTCTGCAAGGCGCGCCGCCATTGGCTGGTGCAGGTTCCGTACACGTGCGCGTGCGTCGCTTGCCACTGGACTGCGAGCCGCATCTGCAGTTCATCCAAGGAGACCACGGTGACCAGCCTCCATTTACTAAAGGACACGAATACTTAGTTTTAACATGTCTAAAACGAGCAAACCTTCCAATGTCTTCCAGTAGCATTCTAGAAACATAATGTGAGATAAAGCTCATAACTGAACAAGGTATTAAATATAAAATATCAGAAAATAGAGATTAACAGTAGAACCACATTTTGTTTACTAAGTACGATATCCAACTCCTCATTTACAGTCTTTGACGATCTCGTCAGCCTTCTGAGTTATGTATGTATCGCACAATCCAGGATTTTATTTATTTTAAGAATTTCGAGATATAAAAATTTTGACAAACTGGTGAAACACATTAAAAAAAGAATAACGTACGAAATAAAACTAATAAATATATTGTTTTCCAAATCAAATAGAATTTTGTCACATTTGACTGGTGACACGTACCTTATTTTTTTTAATCATATCCACCACTTTCCCAAACGTTACTTCTCGAAGTTAATGTGTATACAGAATTTTAATTCCGAAATTTTGAACAGCGGAACCTATAATTTGGAATATACATATAACATATTCATAATTAGAAATCATCTACTACATGATAAATCGCCTCAGTTTGAACATCTGAGCTATCCAAAACCAGTAACCAATTAAGACTTCCTCTGAAGATAAACTAATTGTGTTTAAAATAGGATGAGACTATGCAGGCAATTGATTTCGATTCAGGCGACCGAAGAGCAAGAGGTAATGATAGACAAGATGTTGTATTAGTCTAATTTTATACAGAGTTATTACGTAGTTATATTGCAGGAAAAGTAGGTATAAGACAAGACAGTGACGTAAATGGTAAAGATTTCTATTTGCTTATTTATCAGACAATAGTAGTATAAGGTAAAAGGTCAGCTCAATAAAATGGCGGAGAATCTGACATCGATATTATGCCCAGACCAATATTCACATCTAACTGTACAATAAAAGCCCAACATATAGACAGAGTACACATAAACTACTAGGAACTAATAAACATAAAATGTATGATGTATAAGAAACGGCGAAGTAAGGGGTGGTATTTGAAAGTGCTTAAAATTTAATTAGACTAAAATTTTGAGAATAAAATTCTAACAATATTGATACAAATCATGAAAACTACCACAAAACCGAGCGAAAATATAGAAGGAAATGTTACAAAACTCACCATAAACGGACAGCACCGCAACGTCCGACTCCCGCCGCCCGGCGACGTTTTCCGCTATACAGGTGTAGTTTGCCATATCCTAGGCAATATAAAACAATATTTAATCCTTTTGTTCATGTTCCTAACAGACATAACAGTTAGCTAGTATTTGTAAATGTAAAAAGCGCGGATATCATTCAAAATGTAGGTACATTATAAAAGAATTTAGGTAAATCGGGTGTACCACAAGGTGCAATTTCTGGGCCATCTTTATTTTACTATTATAACTTATGAACTACTACAATTTATCAAAGCTATGCTACTGCATTGGTTCAATGCCAGTGCTTAATGGGTCGTGTGGGGTACGAACGAACTTTACCACTACGAGTATGAACTAATTCATCTCAATATTAAGCGTCCCACGAGGGATGTAACTGGGCCCGTTGCTCTACTACATTAATTATTAGTTATTAAATGTTGTTACTTTAGTATGAATTGCAACTAAAAACTTTGCAGCTCCGTGTTCGTGCCGTTATGATACTTTTCTATTTCTCATTTCTTTATTCTATTTTTCATTTCTAGATGCTTATATACGTGAATCTAAAGTTCAAAGAAATTACGATAATCTATGATGTCTACCTTTAACATAGAGAGGTGTTCTACAGGGCTTTGTGCTGTAACTTCCACTATTTTATGAATATATACACTAGAGCGTCATAAAAGGAACTGGGGGCCTTGATTATTTCTTCTATATACTACAACTACTTCCCTCACCTGTAATCCAACTTTTGGCAACACAAGAATCTCATCGTTAGGTTCAATAGTAACTCCGTTTCTTGTCCATTTCAAGGTAACTGCAGGGGCAGCGGGAGGTGGTACACAACGGAAAGTGACACTGCGACCTGCTTCGACAGTCACTGATTGAGGTTGCTGAACGAATTGCTTCTTTATATCTGTATAGTAATAATGTTTATTTTAAATAAATGTTTTATTTCAATGACATTGCGTAGGTTGGTATAAGACTACCACGAGTGACCATTTAAAAGGGCTTGTATCACGTGAAAGTCGTACAAATAATAATAACTACATGAAACAAATGTATTATTAAGATCTTTTGTGAAATAACTTCACTTAATTCGAACACATAGAAAACCTTTTTTGACCCGATGTGACTTGAACCCACGACTATATTGCACCTGTAGCTACTGGCTGCCGTGAAGAAGGTTCTTAAAAATCTCTCACTAGATGTCTCGAGCAGTATAGAATGCGGAAAAATCCAGTTCAAAGCTCTTTAACAAAAACACATAGGAGAATTTCTACAACTCGATAACTTGACCCGTAGCTCAGTTGGTACGAGCAGTACTACGGTGCAGTATGTTCATGGGTTCACGTCCCATTGGGTCAAAAAGTTTTTCCATATATTCGATCTCTGTATTAATAAAATCATAGTTATGTATATGTGAAAATGTATGTCTCTCCTATTTAAGAATAAAGAAGTTTTCGACTATTTTTGTTCATAGATTTTAAAACATCTCTACTCAAAAGTTGTCATTTTGCTGATGTAGCCTTATTGCACTGAGGGCATAATAGAAGTTTTAGCACCCGTGCGCAATATTTATAGCATTACAATTTCCCATCAATTCAAAACTATACACAGTGTTTTTGTAAATGGGACAGTATGGGAAAATAAAAGAAAATTTTTTTCACAAAAAAAGTATTCTTTTGTGAAAACAATTTAGGCATAGTCAATTGTTTGGTCAAGCGTAAGTTGTCCATAAAAATGAATAAAATTGAACGAATTTTGGTTAGTCCTGATCGACTCAGTTTCATGTAAGGATCATTTCAATGTATGGGTTAAAAATAAATTGGAGCAGCAGGAAATCTTCTGATATTTCATACGCTCATATAGGGTGAAAGATTATTGCCCATGATATAGGGTGAAAAACCTCATCTCGCGGAACGGTTTCTAGGAGTGAGTTCCTTCTTGGGTACAACTGCCCGGACCTTCCGCATATACGGTGAGAATTATATTGGCGACATACGAGGTGAAAATAAATCTTCTGAACAACAATTTGGAGTTTTACTTGGCTAGATCTGCATAACCTCATCCAACGGAAGAAAAAACCTCCCTCCTTTACAGTTCTAAATTTTTATTTATTAATTTCTAATTTTAATTTTAATTTTGTAATTGTATATGGATTTCTAGGGTCCGAAATATTTTTTAAAATTTTATTATGATTTATTTAATGTATCAAAGTCCGTTTTCATTTATAGTTGAAACAAAATTGTGTCATGGCTTTAAGTATCAATATTCTTAATTTATCTTCACCCAAACCCTCTATTTTGACCTTCCGCTCGAATGAACGGTTTAACATTCCAATAAATCGTTCCAAATAGCCTTCTAGCCTATAGGATGTTTAGCAATTCCCCCCACCCTTATCCAAAACGCCATTATCTTACTTAGCGCTCTCCAAAGCAACGCCTGGTCACATCACACCCTAAAACAACCTTGTACAGTGTTAGTCAGTTCACAGTAGAGTGAACGAAGCTTATTGTAATATTTCTAACACAGCGGTGGTAGCGCAACTGGAGAACGATTGCTACTTAATTGAGAGATGAATGGTTCGAATCCTTGTGGCGACAGTTGCTTACTTTAATTTTTAAGTCACAACTGTTCAGGAACAGATTACTTAATAATTACTATGTAACAGATACATCACTCTCATACAAAATCAAAAATACTTACGCTATAATAACCTACTAAATCTGACTAATGACACCAGGCGCTCACTACGAGGGAAAAGGAACCTAAGCACGCGCTCAGAGAGGTGAAAATAACGTTGCCCGCCGTGTGCACTCGTGCGGAGCCGAATGCTCATAAATGAAAGACTTGTATGAGCACTTGTGCCGACGTCGGTACACTCAGCGGTAGGCACTTATCTCGTAACCTTGAGCTAGTAACGAAACCCTGGTTCTAGTGAAACTATAGGCACATCGCGACGGCGACGGGCCGCAGCAACAGCGCCCTTCAAATCTTTGTGATTGGAAGGTTTGAGTGGCACTGCATTTGTATGAAGGGCGTCCACGCCCAGGCCCACGACTTGGTCATCTCGTCACTAGATATCATAAAAAGATAAAGGAAAACATCGTGATGAAACCTGCTTGTCAAAGAACATTGTCAACGGTTGAAAAACTTGTGCAGTATCCAACTCGCATTGGGTCAGCAGCGTAAAATGTAAACTATAGGATATAGTCTAAACCCACTCCTTAGAGGAGACCCGTGCTCAGCGGTGGAACGTACAACAGGCTGATGATGAATACCTCTGAGGGGTCGGAAAATATTATCTTAATGTGCATCTAAGAAAATATAAATAACTATGATTTTGAAACTAAACTTTTCATATCTAAAGATAGTAATAAGTTCGTTTTGAAATCGTTGGACTTACAGGAATCGAAATGCTTTTTGTTAAAGTTACTAACTTTCAAAAAAAGGTAAACAACGTAGTTCGATAAACAAACTACGGATGCTGACGGACGATGTTTTGTAAATTCAGTAAACGGCTTTAGCAGAATTTACAGAAACTGTGCAAACAACCCGCTGTTACGGAGTTATAGACTTTGTACTAGATATTGGTTTTATATTAGTCAATTTCAAATCTATGTCATTGATAGGAAGATTAATCTAATGTCCAAAGTATGAAGTTGAGTACTTTGATTTTACTAGAAGAAATAAGTAATTAATTGTTTCAGGCGTTTCTTTGCGGAAGTCCATGTTAATAAAAATGGAAGTAAATTAATGCATTCTTCGGCTGAGCAATCAACAATCTCTAAGGATGCCTCGTAGAGAGGTGATACACGTGTCGGGTATATTTTTGATGGTGGTTGGTGGAGTATTCAATACAAGCGCAGCTATTTTGCATTTAACCTTCACTGGGTTGTCACAAATTAATTTACTTCCATTTTTATTAATTGCGCTTATTTTTTTCAAATGTGCAATAAAATTATGCGACTTCAGTACATTGAAAAATCTGACTCTTACCGAATGGAGCTTAATGGTATCAATGAAAAAAATTGGATGAAAATGAAAATGAAAATACTTGGATGACAAAAGTCCGTGGTAATGACCCATTTAGCTATTACATGTTGTCTCGATCTATGATCATTGAAATAAATATTGTAAGTGATAAATGTATACAAATGTTTATTTACAAAGAGCAACCCCTAGAGTTACTTGTTCATTCTTCTCAATGACGATTTCAAGTGTAATTTGCTTACCTATGAAATAAGGATGATTTGACTTTGACTTTTTAATTGAATCCAAATTGAATCAATCTAGAAGTGTGATTCATTCCATTAACCTCCACTTTATAAAGTCAATTTTTTTGAATGTATTTTGTATTCTTACTTTTCAAAATTATTAACACGATGCAACAAAGCTAGTGAGCATTTATCAAATGGCAAAGTGCGAGTTAACGAGCGGAAATAACGTTCCTTCCACGTAATGATGCCCAGACCCTTTGTGGGGGGCTAAAAACACCATTGAAAATTACGATTTACACTATGAGTACACTTTGTTCCGCCATGGTGATGGGATTAGGGTTACTGAGAATGGTGAAAATAGCAATACTAATTAGGATTTGACTGTGAATGGTTCACTTAATGATCCTTTTTTGTTACTTTGCCAATCAGTAAGCAGACAGATGATTTATTAATGAAAAATTAAAATTAATGCATCTTTAATAACGCAAATGTATTTCCATTCGTGGAATATTTAGAGCTTACGTCTTCTGTGTCAGTTATAGCATTAATAACGATGGTAGCTCTGTGAGAGAACCGTTGCTTCCCAGTAAAGTGGTCTACGGTTTGACATTAAATCACTTTAAGACGTACATTTGGGACTGTTTTGTAGCAATACAGAGCTACAGCAGTAGCTGGTGGTGAAGAAAAACATGGAGAGTTAACTTAACCACAACGCAAGAGATTTATAATTTTTAAATCCAAGGATAAGCAATGGGGCAGCATTTTTTAATTGGTAAACACTAAACACGAAGAAGACAGAGTATCAGCGCTACTAATACAAGAATAGAAACGCTAATATCTAGCAGTGAAGTGCCAAACCATGTGGTTATAACCGCTCACGCGATGCGCTCATCCTACCGCAAAATGGCGGCTATTTGGTTTCGCAAATTAGAAAAGGATTCAGTTTAAATACAAGTTTTTATAAACGAAAATTATTATTTTGCATTGCTAAATAAATACCCTCCGTACTACAACAAAAACATCTCAAATAAAATGCAGTAATACACAGCAAATCCTGCACTTAAAAAGGACTAATGAAATTTTAGGTGTACTTGGGTGAATATGATAATATTCAGTTTGAGTGGTTCTAACGTTTACCATGAAATTACTATATTTATTTATTACTATATTACTACTAATTACCTTAAAGTATAGTTTATAAACATTTATATTCAGGGTAAACTTAAAAAACGCTACTTACGGCATGTTTTCAATAAATAAACACCGAAAACTGGTTCCAGACTCGAAGCGTAGGCCAATCGTCCAAGTGCAAGGTTTTGCAAACTTTCCTTTTTATCATTGAACCCTTCATTAGATTGAGTCACTATTATTATTATTTTCTTGGTTAGAAATGTTTATTTATTTCTCACATATTATATATTACTTACTGCACAGAATATTAATTACATCTTCATATAACATATGTATATACGTATTAATTAAGTAAGTAAATTAGTTTACACTTATGCTGTTCTATTTATCTATGTATTCGTTTTATATATCTAGTGTAAATATTTTTATATATACCAAGCCTCACGCACATGTTACGCATGTATTTGTTTTGTTTATGCTCGAGTCCGTGCTTCACTCATATCGGGTTTGCTGTAAACCAGCGTTCCAGGCTGAAATCTATCAGCCTGTAGCTAATAGCTGA